GAGGGCACCCCACAACTGATGCAACAAGTGGAACTACTGAGGGCACGCCCACAACTGATCAGCCTACCACAACAGATGCAACAAGTGGAACTACTGAGGGCTTGTCCACAACTGATCAGCCTGGCACAACAGATGCAACAAGTGGAACTACTGAGGGCTTGTCCACATCTGATCAGCCTGTCACAACTGATGCAACAAGTGGAACTACTGAGGGCTTGTCCACAACTGATCAGCCTGGCACAACAGATGCAACAAGTGGAACTACTGAGGGCACGCCCAAAACTGATGCAACAAGTGGAACTACTGAGGGCTTGTCCACAACTGATCAGCCTGGCACAACAGATGCAACAAGTGGAACTACTGAGGGCACCCCCACAACTGATGTAACAAGTGGAACTACTGAGGGCACGCCCACAACTGATCAGCCTACCACAACTGATGCAACAAGTGGAACTACTGAGGGCATGCCCACAACTGATCAGCCTACCACAACTGATGCAACAAGTGGAACTACTGAGGGCTTGTCCACAACTGATCAGCCTGGCACAACAGATGCAACAAGTGGAACTACTGAGGGCTTGTCCACAACTGATCAGCCTGGCACAACAGATGCAACAAGTGGAACTACTGAGGGCACCCCCACAACTGATCAGCCTACCACAACTGATGCAACAAGTGGAACTACTGAGGGCACCCCACAACTGATCAGCCTGTAACAACTGATGCAACAAGTGGAACTACTGAGGGCACCCCCACAACTGATCAGCCTGGCACTACAGATGCAACAAGTGGAACTACTGAGGGCACCCCCACAACTGATGCAACAAGTGGAACTACTGAGGGCACGCCCACAACTGATCAGCCTACCACAACAGATGCAACAAGTGGAACTACTGAGGGCTTGTCCACAACTGATCAGCCTGGCACAACAGATGCAACAAGTGGAACTACTGAGGGCTTGTCCACATCATCAGCCTGTCACAAACAACAAGTGGAACTACTGAGGGCTTGTCCACAACTGATCAGCCTGGCACAACAGATGCAACAAGTGGAACTACTGAGGGCACGCCCAAAACTGATGCAACAAGTGGAATTACTGAGGGCTTGTCCACAACTGATCAGCCTGGCACAACAGATGCAACAAGTGGAACTACTGAGGGCACCCCCACAACTGATGTAACAAGTGGAACTACTGAGGGCACGCCCACAACTGATCAGCCTACCACAACTGATGCAACAAGTGGAACTACTGAGGGCATGCCCACAACTGATCAGCCTACCACAATTGATGCAACAAGTGGAACTACTGAGGGCTTGTCCACAACTGATCAGCCTGGCACAACAGATGCAACAAGTGGAACTACTGAGGGCTTGTCCACAACTGATCAGCCTGGCACAACAGATGCAAGAAGTTTAACTACTGAGGGCTTGTCCACATCTGATCATCCTGTCACAACTGATGCAACAAGTGGAACTACTGAGGGCTTATCAACAACTGATCTGCCTGGCACAACAGATGCAACAAGTGGAACTACTGAGGGCACCCCCACAACCGATGCAACAAGTGGAACTACTGAGGGCACGTCCACAACTGATCAGCCTGTAACAACTGATGCAACAAGTGGAACTACTGAGGGCTTGTCCACAATTGATCAGCCTGGCACAACAGATGCAACAAGTGGAACTACTGAGGGCTTGTCCACAACTGATCAGCCTGGCACAACAGATGCAAGAAGTTTAACTACTGAGGGCTTGTCCACATCTGATCAGCCTGTCACAACTGATGCAACAAGTGGAACTACTGACGGCTTATCAACAACTGATCAGCCTGGCACAACAGATGCAACAAGTGGAACTACTGAGGGCTTGTCCACAACTGATCAGCCTGGCACAACAGATGCAAGAAGTTTAACTACTGAGGGCTTGTCCACATCTGATCAGCCTGTCACAACTGATGCAACAAGTGGAACTACTGACGGCTTATCAACAACTGATCTGCCTGGCACAACAGATGCAACAAGTGGAACTACTGAGGGCACCCCCACAACTGATGCAACAAGTGGAACTACTGAGGGCACATCCACAACTGATCAGCCTACCACAACTGATGCAACAAGTGGAACTACTGAGGGCTTGTCCACAACTGATCAGCCTGGCACAACAGATGCAACAAGTGGAACTACTGAGGGCTTGTCCACAACTGATCAGCCTGGCACAACAGATGCAACAAGTGGAACTACTGAGGGCACCCCCACAACTGATGCAACAAGTGGAACTACTGAGGGCACGCCCACAACTGATCAGCCTACCACAACTGATGCAACAAGTGGAACTACTGAGGGCTTGTCCACATCTGACCAGCCTGTCACAACTGATGCAACAAGTGGAACTACTGAGGGCTTATCCACAACTGATCAGCCTGGCACAACAGATGCAACAAGTGGAACTACTGAGGGCTTGTCCACAACTGATCAGCCTGGCACAACAGATGCAACAAGTTTAACTACTGAGGGCTTGTCCACATCTCATCAGCCTGTCACAACTGATGAAACAAGTGGAACTACTGAGGGCTTATCAACAACTGATCTGCCTGGCACAACAGATGCAACAAGTGGAACTACTGAGGGCACCCCCACAACTGATGCAACAAGTGGAACTACTGAGGGCACGTCCACAACTGATCAGCCTACCACAACTGATGCAACAAGTGAAACTACTGAGGGCTTGTCCACAACTGATCAGCCTGGCACAACAGATGCAACAAGTGGAACTACTGACGGCACCCCCACAACTGATGCAACAAGTGGAACTACTGAGGGCACGCTCACAACTGATCAGCCTACCACAACTGATGCAACAAGTGGAACTACTGAGGGCTTGTCCACAACTGATCAGCCTGGCACAACAGATGCAACAAGTGGAACTACTGAGGGCACCCCCACAACTGATGCAACAAGTGGAACTACTGAGGGCACGCCCACAACTGATCAGCCTACCACAACTGATGCAACAAGTGGAACTACTGAGGGCTTGTCCACAACTGATCAGCCTGGCACAACAGATGCAACAAGTGGAACTACTGAGGGCTTGTCCACAACTGATCAGCCTGGCACAACAGATGCAACAAGTTTAACTACTGAGGGCTTGTCCACATCTGATCAGCCTGTCACAACTGATGAAACAAGTGGAACTACTGAGGGCATATCAACAACTGATCTGCCTGGCACAACAGATGCAACAAGTGGAACTACTGAGGGCACCCCCACAACTGATGCAACAAGTGGAACTACTGAGGGCACGTCCACAACTGATCAACCTACCACAACTGATGCAACAAGTGGAACTACTGAGGGCACCCCCACAACTGATCAGCCAGTAACAACTGATGCAACAAGTAGAACTACTGAGGGCTTGTCCACAACTGATCAGCCTGTAACAACTGATGCAACAAGTGGAACTACTGAGGGCTTGTCCACAACTGATCAGCCTGGCACAACAGATGCAACAAGTGGAACTACTGAGGGCACCCCCACAACTGATCAGCCTACCACAACTGATGCAACAAGTGGAACTACTGAGGGCACCCCCACAACTGATCAGCCTGGCACTACAGATGCAACAAGTGGAACTACTGAGGGCACCCCCACAACTGATGCAACAAGTGGAACTACTGAGGGCATGCCCACAACTGATCAGCCTGTAACAACTGATGCAACAAGTGGAACTACTGAGGGCACCCCCACAACTGATCAGCCTGGCACTACCGATGCAACAAGTGGAACTACTGAGGGCACCCCCACAACTTATGCAACAAGTGGAACTACTGAGGGCACGCCCACAACTGATCAGCCTACCACAACTTATGCAACAAGTGGAACTACTGAGGGCTTGTCCACAACTGATCAGCCTGGCACAACAGATGCAACAAGTGGAACTACTGAGGGCTTGTCCACATCTGATCAGCCTGTCACAACTGATGCAACAAGTGGAACTACTGAGGGCTTGTCCACATCTGATCAGCCTGTCACAACTGATGCAACAAGTGGAACTACTGAGGGCTTGTCCACAACTGATCAGCCTGGCACAACAGATGGAACAAGTGGAACTACTGAGGGCACCCCCACAACTGATGCAACAAGTGGAACTACTGAGGGCACGCCCACAACTGATCAGCCTACCACAACTGATGCAACAAGTGGAACTACTGAGGGCTTGTCCACAACTGAACAGCCTGGCACAACAGATGCAACAAGTGGAACTACTGAGGGCTTGTCCACAACTGATCAGCCTGGCACAACAGATGCAACAAGTGGAACTACTGAGGGCACCCCCACAACTGATCAGCCTACCACAACTGATGCAACAAGTGGAACTACTGAGGGCACCCCCACAACTGATCAGCCTGTAACAACTGATGCAACAAGTGGAACTACTGAGGGCACCCCACAACTGATCAGCCTGTAACAACTGATGCAACAAGTGGAACTACTGAGGGCACC